CAGAACATTGCTAGAGAGCAGGAAAGGAGGTGAAAGGAGACAATTTTAGAGAAGAAAATTGTTCGGTTGCTACCCAGATTCGAGCCCGGGACCTTTGAATGAGAGGCCAACACCTTAACCTCTAGGCCACGAGAACCCCCGCCCAGATGATAGAGCTATCAACTGAGCTGTCGAAGCCGTTCAGTGGAATGTTATGTGCCATAAAACAATCAATGGATGCGGAAATTCAGAAAAAGGTTTCTTTACGTTGCAAGAAACTAGCATTGATTTTGTAATCCACATATTGTTTACAATTGATTTGCAAATCTGACCTGAGATGTTTTTTTTATTCTTTCTTCTCTCTTTTTTTCTATTAGTTTCTCCATCTCATTTGAAACCTTTTTCGATATCCAAAAGTAAAAATGATGAATGAGAAAAAAACTTTCAGAAAAGAAACCAGTCTTCACAGCGATTACGTTTCCGCGCAATTGATATAGAAGAGCAAGCTCGACATGTTGAAAAAGTCCATCAATACCATGAGAGATAAGTAACCAGGTGTATCGTTGACGTCATCAATGCACTCATCGACTTCCTCAATGCCTTGAACAATGTAACAAATACTTGAGAACATGCCGTGGGGGTGTCGCCAGTGTAGAGGTCTTTGTTTCTTTTTGAGATAGCATATCAGTTATTTTTTCTAATGTATTATTCTAATTCAGAGTATAATCTACATGTCGCAAGCTATGCACTCAGCTAAAGAGGCAATAGTAAAATTGAAATTGTGGACAGGCTTCTAGACACGGTGTCCGAAAAGGAACCTTAAGAAATATTAAATCAAAGTGAAGTTCTGTGAGATGCAGTCGACGATCATTCCTTTATTCACAAAGGTAAGAGCTGATCTCGTGATTAGTTTGATGTATTAAAACACACCTTTGTAACAGCGTCCTTTGTCTTTTAGAAATGCATGTGCATTTAATATTATGTTTGATCTCATTTGAAATAATTTTTTTAAAAATCAGCGTACGTGTTTCCTTACTGATTAAGGCCTGCTATGTTCGTTCTTCAACTTCCGACTTCGTTTACTATGCTTTTGTTGTTTCTTTTACTTCTTTTTTCTCTTACATATCTATCTATCTATCTATCTATCTATCTATCTATCTATCTATCTATCTATCTAT